ACCCACCCTTTGGCCTCAGGAGGACTCTATTAGCAGATTACTGTTTGTTCTAACAGATTAGTATTTAATGAAAACAATTTATCAAGTGTTTAAGTTAAGTGTCACACTTGCTCAAGTTTTATATGGCCAATATTTTCCGGTCGGGTTTTTTATTTTATTTTTTTTGGACAGTCCCAATTATGTTGAAGACGTAGAAAAGTTACTGTCATTTATATGGTGCATTAGTTGTGTATACCACTTTACAATTGCATAGGAAGATAAGGCTTTTTCACTGAAGAGTGCCTAATCTAATTTAGGCAGATACCACACAAATGACAGAGGATCAGGAACTGAGGGCTTTGGAGAAGAGATCAGCCTTTGAAGTATAAGTGAAAGAAATAAGCACTGAGGAGGAATTTGAGGGAGAGTGAGGGTGCTTGCTCAGGGGAAGAGGGAAGCTGCTCAAAGTGGAGGGGACAGCATGGTAATAGAAAGGTCAAGTGGAAGAGACAAAGGGAGCATTAGGGAGAGAGGACTGATTGGTATTCCGGCTTCTGTCTGGGGTGGAGGTGGAAATGAGTGCTGAGAAGTAGGCTTGAGCAGGGCTAAAGCAGGATTTGGGATTTGAGAATAAAGAGCATATGTTTGATTGATAGGCGGAAGGCCCAGTGAAGTTAGTTGAGAGCAGGGGCAAAGGTTGGAATGGCAGATGATGTTCTTAGCTGCAGTGTTTTGGATAGACTGGTGAAGTAGGAGGACGGAAGGCGGTTGCAGATCATGAGGTAAGAGATGATCATAATGTGGACTGGGTTTGTCATAATGTACAGAGAGGAAGGGTCTGATATTTAAATATAGTGGAAGAAGTGACAGGACTTGGCAAGACCGTGAATCTAGAAATGGGCTGTAAGCTTGCACGGTAGGGAGAGCAGTGGCTTTAATAACAGTGCTAAAGTAAGTAGTGCAGTAAGGAAGAGGGTTTTGGATGGAGGCTAAGAAATTTGGCTTTTGTCATCGTGAGTTAAGATAATGGTGGGACATCCAGAAAGATGTCACTGATGCAAGACTTGACAGATGGGAAGAGGTGGAGTTGGGACTTGGTGGCATAAGTATTTTATCTATGTGTTAGCTGTGGATATGTCACCTCCGTAATTAGCATTGAAGGAGGAGACCAAAGTGAGAACCCTGTGGGTACCTACAGATGTGGGGAGATGAGAAGATGAGACCTAGCTAGAGGAGGTGCTGAAGGAGTAGTCCCGAAGTAGGATGATAGCACACACTGTGCTGGAAGCCCAAGGAGGGGAGAGTGTCTTTGTAAAGAGGGCAGTCCATGATGTTAAAGAAGGTAAGAGATCAAAAAGAATGAATAGAGTGAAGAGACCTTTGGGTTTGGCTCAGAATTGGTCACTGGAGATAATGACGACACTTTCAGTAATATGGAGAGAGCAAAAGCCTTGAATTTGACATTGTTGCCAACCTCTGAAGAGGTTTGTGTATGTTACTCATTAAAAAGAGGTCCCATCTGGTGGAGTACCCATATGTTTATTTCATGAAAAGCAAATTGCTAAGATGTTTATAGTTTTAATGGAGATGGGGTCTGAAGGGTTAATTTTTCAACTGGTTTTGAAACCTTGTATTTTACAATGAAAAGGTCATGTTTGTGGATGGACATTAGGGGGTATATTTTTGGCACAGTGTGCCATGGATTGAGCCGCATGACTTCCATTAATGTTAATGTGAATAGCACAACTAAATCTATGTCCATTTTCCTAAAAATTTCTTTAGATGTAATTATATAATAGTAAAATCATTCTTAATTAGGCTTGAACAGTGACATTTTTAGGCTTCAGAGTGGCAACCAATTTATGTATACAGTTTAAAACAATACAATTGTAATTTCAACACATTTGTCACTAAAACGTAAGAGTGAGCCCTAACAATCAAGAAATGGTGATAAGTTCTTTCTGCAGCTAAAAATCTGTGTTGAATGTATGTCCAGAATAGGAGTGTGTGCAGCTAAATAAATATAAGGTAAAAATCTATTTTGTGAAGTCTCTCTTTGAATATTGAAGTTTTTGGTGTAACTTGTGTTTTTGTTT